GTAATTTTATGGGCTTATGTACATTAGGGTGGTCCTTGAAAAATTAAATGAACGATTTTTACAGTCTCGTCCCCTAAATCGGTAATACCACGGTCACAGATAACACATATAAATTTTGGTCCCGATTGGGGTCGGTTAAGACGTCTTCATAGGGTTATCTGAACTTTGACCCCTGTGCGGCACGCCTTAACCGTCTCCAATCGTGACCATAATTTGTATGTGATATCTTCGACTATAGTAGCATCGACGTAGGGATTGAGGCTTAGGAAATCTGAGGAAAAAATTTACTTCCTACATATAAGACCATCCTAATATACATACATACATGTGTATGCGGTTGTGGAGAAATATGCACATTCCACATACGCCGTGTGTCGCGCAGACAACAGGTGTCAACGCAGGTTGAGAGATGCATACATACCTCCGCTATATGCATATTTACATAAATACATACATACATACATACATGCTTTTTCTGCTGCCTGTGGCGTTTGCTTGTGGCGCGAATTTTATAATAGTTTTCGGCCGTTTCGGGTACTAGTACTTACATATTTCTAAAGCCATTCGCTGATTTCTTTTACTCGTTTTTATGCCTCACTTAAATTTTATATAGTGCAATAAAACTGTTATTCCTTCGTGAGTATGCATTTCGGTATCTAAGCGATGTATGACGCTGTAATGTCAGCTGTAGGAATAAGAGCTTCAAATGGTGAGAGCTGAAGGCACTTAAGTTATCAAATGATCTGTAAAATGATTAATAATCAATATAAATTTCAAAAACTCCAAGCCCTAGATGTAAATTCTTAGTTCTTATAGGGTAAGACCCCAGTGCCGCCAGACCTACCTTATTTCCGAATTTACCAAATTTAGGGAATAATTCGTGTTAAATGTGTTGAAGTATGTAAGAGTGAGTGCATGCCAAAAGGTCAAAACACAAAGCTTGCTTGGGTAGATGGCCTTTTACAGGTTAGCAGATAGTAAAGCCACGTGAAAACGTTACTTACTTACTTACATACATACATATGTTAAACTCGAATTGCGGGTTTCTATATATACATATATATTTTACAGAATCTTATTCAAAATCAATTTTCAATATTGCCAGCCATTTTCCGTGGGCGGCAACTTCCGCCAGACGCTTTAAAGTTCGAAAAGAATTAGGGAATATCCTCAGTCCCAAATTTTATATACAATACTTAGGAGACTATTTTAATACCTTTTGTGAACAGCCACACCAAACGTTTGGCCGAATGTCCTTCCAGGCACAATAGAAGTTAATTTTTTTATATGAAATTTATCTGCGAATTATGTTACTCATACGTACGGTGACCATCCGTCCTTTATTTTAAAGGACAGTCCTTTATTTTAACCCCCTGTCCTTTATAATTTTTTTCAAAATAAAGGACGCCTTTTGTCCTTTATTTCTTTAACTGTCCTTTAAATCGGCTGTGTATTTTTCAGAGTTGATAAATTTTTAAACGCAGAATATGAAAAATAAAAATGTCCCTTATGAAATATAATGAAATCGTTCGCCAGTTTATTTCTCACCCCACTTAAGGGTTTCTATTTAATTGGAAATCTTTGTACAATCTATAAAGCACGGGGAAAGTTGTGTCCAGGATGGTGTTGCCCGCTGAGTTTCCAGTTCCGCTGAAAGAGAACAATAAACCCCCCGCTGCACAGTGGTTTAAAACTGGCATTTAGTGTTCGTAATTCACTGGAGCCTTCTTTTTTTTCACTTAATATGATTAATTTTTATTTTTTTTTTATGGAAGCTTACGATGTTTGCAAAAGACCAGTTGAGCCTGATGCCTTTTATTTGATTATATTAATTTGTTTAGTGCAAAATGCAGATAAAGTAGCAATTTTGATGAAAATGTATTCTCCTGTTCCAGTTAATGAATGTTATATTAAAAAAACTAGTTGAAACCAATTGTATGGCTCTCCCAAAACAAAAAAAAAAATACTTAAAAAAAAAATTTTTAAATGTTATAAAAAAATCCTCACCAATATAAATATTTGTTTGGTTTTTAGCAAAAATTGGTTGAAAAATGAAGGCTCCGCTGCATTATGAACATTAAATTCCAGTTTTGAACCACTGTGTGCTGGCTTCGTCGTGCAGTATGAATTATGGTAAACGCATTTTGGTAGCAAAGGATGGCGAAGTCCTTGAAAAGGGTTTGGCTTCATTTTTCGCTATAGAAGGGGAACTTGTACAGTCAAAAAATATAATTAACCGGTAAATATTTGATTTAAATTACGATATGGGTAAGGTACTTTCATCATACAAGTTGTATGTACGTATTCCCAAAACAGTTTGAAAAAAATGTCCTTTATTTTACGTTGGTTAATATGGTCACCGTACTCATACGCCACGTTTCCACGCGTTTCATCAAACTTGATAGGAAAACGATAACTATAGATTAGGCTATTATTATTTAGAACTAGTAATTAAACAGAATATAATTGACTCTATCATCATCAGCACGAAAATAAAACATTTTATTTTGAACAAGCCGACGACCTACCTAGTAAAGTCAAATCGGCTACGCTGAATTTTGTGATCATAGTCATTATTCTAGGTTAGGTCATTTAATCGAGTAATATTAAATTCAACGGGCCCGCTTTTGAGCGAAATTTTACGATTTTAGATTGCTCTGAAAACTCGTATTGGAGGGTTTTTGGTTCGAGGAATCCGAATTAGACATTATTTTTGCCATCCAATAATTGATCATAGTGTGTTGGATGAAAGGCACGCTTTTCGTGGTTTAGATAAATATACGCATGTACTATTCACGGACCAAGAATTGAGTCCTGCTTTTAGAGGGTACTACTCAACACACCGACCCTTGCTATGTAGGCTATGTAGCTATGGAATCACACATCCCGCCAGCAATCGGGGGGCACAACTTTTGTGAGAGAGCGTTACCGAGAGTTAAAACGGAAGAGAGACTTATAATATGAAATAGGAAGCGGGAGGTCCAAAAACGTGAGTGCGAAGAGTCTGCCACGCTGGCCGACAAGAAAAACAATCGGAAATTTTTGACAGTAAATAGGGCGACATATGAAAATATCAAGACCGAGGCGAGCTCCTGGAAAACTAAAAACGCCAATCCGATGCTAAATATCCTAGGTTTAATCTAATAAATTATTTGCGGAACACTTTTTCGCTCAACTAAATGGAACGGTGCTCACTCGATGATGTTCAAAAACAATAAAGTTGCAGCCGATGGACTTCTTGCTGAGCTAAGTACGCAAGTACGATGGCGAAGAACTGTGATTAAATGAAAGCAGGCCTCCCGGTTTGAACTTAAGTGAACTCTGGCCAATCCACAAGATGTTTATACATTGAAAGAAGACTGTGAATATCTTAAAGCTCAGCCTAACCTGTTATTGAAATACTTTGTGGGAAAACTGTAATGGTTAAATTAAATATGTACGCAGATTGCAAAAACTTCTCTTTTTTATAACGGAAGACTATTTGCAACACTGAATATACTAACATCACTTGTCCTGATGGCTTGCTAAATCGTCCGCGCTCTAGTCAGCGCGTTCTTTGCAATTCCGGAATATTCCTATCGAAGCCTCTCGACATAGAAGCTTCTACCGTCTTTAATCGAACTTTCTATTATTCGCTCGTTATCCACTTCAAACCCTCATTCGCTGGTTCAAAGTATTCGTCACAGTTTGAATTATTTCGAATAATATTATACATATAAGTACCAAACATCAATAAAATATACATATACATGAATATTTATACGTGTACGTACACGAATATAGCGCAAGCCTTAACCGCCTTCTTGACTAGTTAGCTAATTTAGCCGAAACATTTTTGCATCTAATCAACTTCTTGCCTTTAAATACTTATCTGACGCGAATCTCATTAACTAAATAGCACCTTTAATCATACAATAACAATAAGAAAACATAAATAAACATCACACCAACGGGCAGACATTTAGACACCTAACCGAGAAATGTTGAGGTGCAAGAACTGTGCGTTCAGTCAACGCATCAAATTTGACTACGGTTTCTTATCTCTAAATTAAACATCGCATATCTCGAAATGGACAAAAGTTCTAATTTTTGACATCAGAAATTTCTAGAGGACGGGCAGTATTTTCCAGCATTCCGAAATTGGCTAGTTGCGCGCTGGAATGGAGAAAGTAAGATTACAGCTACGTTTGTAGTGTGTACACATGTGCTCACAAACTACTATGTACAACGTGTTTAGATAGCAGATAACAAGCAGCAGCTTCAAACAAACTAATTACCCATAGACACAATAAAAACAATACTGAAAAATGGGATAAATTGCACCTATATATACGACAATGTGGCACGTAAACACAATTACTACACAGCTGCGTATATATATATATATATATATATAAACATATATGCATATGTGTAGATATTTGTACCCAAACGCGTACGAAAGTGTTGTGAAAAAAGTAGCTAATTAACTTGCAATTACATAAAGTTGATGACTGCAGATTAACTGATTACCCTCCAAAGCAAATCCCAATAAATGAATGAATGAAGAAAAGCTAATAGGAGGGAGTGGATATTTGTCAGCTATGGCTACATAAGTGAGATGTGTGTTAATTCCCTTCAGGCAAACGGTGACAATTTGCCACATAGTGTAAGTTGACAGGAGAAAAGAGTGCCACTACGGTGACCACTCTTGGTGATGTAGTGGGTATCAGTTCAGCTTTTGTTTACTTTCAGCATTCGCTAGCTTGTACGAAAAAAGCCGAATGGATAGGAGAATTACGGCGGCGAAATAATTAAAACGCCGCCTTTATAATCACGCGGAGGGCATTAAAAATACCAGAGACGGAAAATAAACATTATTTTTTAAATTTTAACAAAAAAAATTAACAAGTTTTAATCGTCGTAAAACCGTTATAACTATACTCACGTATTTGTGTTCGTAGTAATAAATTAAAAATAATAATAATAATTAATATTTGATTAAGAAGAATATTTCAGTTAAGAATAATGATCATTCAGGAAAACTCAAAAGCTATAGCAGCGTGATTTCCGTTGTATCCTTTTTAGAGGTAGCGACACCCTAATAAGAAGAATAAGTTCCAAAATTTTCACGTCAAAATTTCAGTAAGTTGCGTCTGTATGGCCTTTTCAATTTCATAAATAATCATTGTTTTTAAGCGGAAAAATAAAACTCAATAATAATTATTATCTCTGAGCGAAAAAAATAAAAATCATAAAATAATCATTATTTGTGATCGAAAAAATAAAAATCAAATAATAATCATTTCCGTTGAGCGAAAAATATAAAAATCATAAAATAATGATTAAATGCTGATTTAAATTATTTTACTCATAATAATTACCGTCCCTGAATAATACACACTTTTCCGTACGTCTTTACTCTAGAAAACATGAGCCGGCCATCGAAAATTATAAGTTCGGCGTAATAAAACTTCTTGCTCGGCACATAGATGTGAAACAGCTGATTTACATGTGAAACGTTTATAGAAAAGAAAAATAAAAGCATTTTCGTGTGTGAAGTGATTCGCGTTTTTATTAAATTGTGGACATTAATAAATCAAATAAAATGCTGGGAAGTCGGCGAAACTTAAAAAGGTTGGTAAGCAATAAAAGAAAAGAATTTTTATCTAAACTTCAATATAAACCAACCAGCGAGGTAGTGAGTGTCCCGGTAGCATCTGAACCACGCGATTATGAGTCTCATTTGCAATCAAATGCAAATATAGTTTCTGGAAATGATCCTGCTAACAGTGTGCGTCCAATTTCTTTAAAAGAGCAGCTAAAAGATTGGGCTTTGAAACACAAGCCAAGTAGGGAGTGTTGCAATGATATACTTGCAATTCTTGCTATACAAAATCTCGATGTCCCAAGGGATATTAGAAGCCTCATACCAAAAAAAAGCAAGTTGGTTATTAAGAGTGTACCTCCTGGGTTTTATTCTCATTTTGGCATAGAAAACCAAATTGCATGCACACATATATAAGTTATATAAAACTCTAACTTACCTTTTCTATCAACATTTTTCAAGGGAAATCCCAAAAATGCAAAATCGAGCATTGAAGCACCTTAACTCAAAGGACGAACAGGTTCTACTCGAAGGTAAATATTTACTACATTTAAGATTTCCAGGTTTTACGTATTAACTTCATTTTATTATAGGTGAAAAACGATGTGAAAATTGTAAAAGGTTAGAGGACAAAATTGATCAAAAATTCCAAGAACTAGCAGGTAAATGCATATTTCGAAGCAGCTTAATACTCACATTGCCCAAAGTTCAAAGAAATATTTATTGTATCTTTATTAAAACTATTTCCGATCATTTTTTCCAGATAGAACGAATCATCAAAATACAATTATAATGGAAGCTTTGGCAGAACAAAATGTCCTAATTAATAGGCTTATTTTCCAAGATGAAGAAAACTTGAACGTGACATCCACTTTCCCAATAAAAAGCGATAATGAACTTAAAGAGCTAGACCAAAAAATTGATGATTCTAACATTAAAAACTATGTAAGTATTTGTAAAATTTTACAATAGTAATTTTTAAATTTATTTATATACTTTTGGTTTTATTTTTATTTTAATAGGTAAATATAGTTAAGAAAATTATTTGTAATAATTTGCAGAAAAACATTGACCTACTATTGGAGCCTGAATTTCTTTATGAATATAATATTGACGGTAGTCATGGAAAGAAACGATTGAAAGAGTATAAAATGTTTGAAGTTATGAAAGGTTTTCTAGAGTAAATTGTGGAAAGTAAATTTACTAATTTTTATTTTTTCTCAGATTGCGTTATTTCGATATATGGCGCAGAAGGTGCTGAAGAAAAAATACGAAAAGCGATTCATTTATCAAAGAAGCGGCAGTTAAAAAAGTTGCTTACGAATAAAAGAAATGCCACCAGCGATGATAATAAATAATGAGTATAAACTCTTTTAAAGTCCATTGACGAAATTCGATGAATTCTTAGTTTTAAAATGAAGTTTTGTATTATTTTTCACATATTTTTCTTTATATTAATGATTCAATGATTTTCTAAACAGGATACAAGAAAACTGAGTAAGTGTATGGTGTCTTTTAATATTAGCATTGTTTTTCAAACTAAATTTTATTTTTTTGTTAATTTTGCATTAAACATGGGCTAAGTTTTAACAGACACCGTATAAATCCAATTTTCGAACTTTGTACGAAATATATGAGAATTTTGTAGTTTCACCTAAACTGCAAACTTTTTAATAAGAATTTAATAAAAATCGAGTATGTAGTTTTATACCCCATTCAAATTTAGTATAATAATGTGCAAACTTTAAATATCTTAAAGTACATACATATGTACATAAAGTATTCTGAGGTTTCTCTTTATATGGAAGAAAATGCGTGACACCGACAGCATAAAAATTATCAAAAATCAACACGAACTTTAAGACATTTAAAGTTTGCACAATATTATACTAAAATTGAATGGGCTATAAAACTGCACACTCGATTTTTGAAATTCTTATTAAAAAGTTTGTGGTTTAGGTGAAACTCCAAATTTCTCATAAATTTCGTATAAAGTTCAAAAATTGGATTTATACAGTGTTTGTTAAACCTTAAGCCATATTTTAATACAATATGGATTAACAAAAAAATATTTAATATGAAAAGCATTGCAAATAGTAAAACTAATCATCGTATATCAGTTTTGTGACTAAGGGTATATTAATATGTTAACTTCGTTATTAAATTGATTATTTTTTGCTTAAAATATGTAACAAAATAGTAGTAGTCGACATATGACCACTTTTGAATATTATTCTTTTGCGTGTTTAATGCTCGTTAATTTTTTATAAGTGAATAGCACATTAAATAACAGGACCCATATATGTACATATGTACATAAATCGAAATGTAAAAAATGTATATATATTTCGAAAATAACTGAATTTCTTTCATTTCTATGAATAAATAACGTAAAAAAATTTTAAGAAATCATCAATTCTAAGAAGGGCAGGGAGGTATTCGTGATAGGTTCTTTTAAACAAGTCACGAAATGGGTAAACGGGGTTTGCCAGGGGACAGGTTTTCTCAGGTCGTCACAGTTCTGCCACCGGAGTCTCTATGCGGTGGCAATCGGTCACTGCCAATGACAACTCCGTGTTAAAGTTGCCGGTCGTTTTCATATAATTGAACCGGAACTGTGATCGGTATCTTCTCTTTCAGACAGGTATGTGATATATCCAGTGCCGGTGCTTTTGCCTGCAGGGTTAGAAGCGCTGTTACTTTATTTAGGCAGATTAAATAATATAGATATGATAGAAAAAAGTGAAAACCAAAAAAATGTAGTAACAAAAACTATAAATGTAATTATTAGGTAGAATAAACTACGTATATACGTACTTATATATAACATCAACCAATTGTATATGTATGCTTGGTAGATGGAGATTCATTGAGTCTCAGGTTGGGATAGTTTACAGAGGTTTCCGATGCTTAAGCCAGCATACCTTGATTTTTAGTACTCGCTGAGGAACTGAGCTCTTGAATCATGTCCCCTCTTATCTAAGCGTATTCGGATCCTAAAAAGCTGTGAACCCAGTAAACGGGCAACAGATATATTAAGGTTTCAGATTCTATTATGTCTGTGCAGCTTCTGCAACAAGAGTCCTTTCGAGCGACCTGTAGTTTTTCCTACGCTATAGAGAATTCTCTTCTCCTAAACATGAGATATTTTTGCGAACGTTTATTGTTCTATTTCGGCCACGTGAGTATCACTTTTCAGCAGATATTTTTTGAACTAGTACCGATGAACTCTCTGAGTAAATAAAGAATATTTTTGGGTATGCAGTTTTATAGTCCATTTAACGAATTGTAAGTTTCAAACGGCTACAAAATCACGTTGATTTTTGGTATTTTTTTTGTTTGCGGACGGATTTTTGCACTCGATTTTTTAATTGCACTTGTTATATAGAAAAATCGCAAAAGCGGTCGCAAAACAAATCTCAAAAATCTACTACAGATTCAGATTAAAAAGTTGAAATTTTGATCAAAATTTGTTGAATTTTCCTAAATTTTGTACACAGCTTGAAACTGTGATTTATATGGTTTTGGGGAAAGCTTAGAAAATATTTTCAATAGAAAAATAACAAAAATTTAACTCGAATAATATTATGAATATTTCAAAAAAAATAATCAACATGTGGTCACTTCTTTGAGTCACTTCATATGTTTTTAGAATAAGATGGATTACCGGTCTATTGCATCTTAAAATGAGATATTAGAACAAAGCGTGCAAAGGCTTAGCAAGACTTCGAGAACACACCCTAATGTAACACGATATGGCAAAACGACAATATAGAAGCATGACTACTTCCAACAATGTCAGTCGGTGGACAATGAATAAAATGAAAGAACCAGGTATACAATTGATGTCAACAACAGGCGTAACTAACTGTTAAAACAACGTATCTGTTCCAAATATCAAAAGTTCTTGTCCTGCAGTAAATACTTAGAAACCCTTGGGCTTGGCTTGTATCGTATTTTTCCATCACTGCCGCCTTCATTCAGATGTAAAAGTAAAGCCTCATGTACAATCAAAGAAAGGTTTAATTCTGATGCATACACCTGCCACTGCATTGCCGTTATGTTCCGATATCCAAACAACCTAAGTACGGCCCATAAATACAGTATATAGGCAGCCCCATATCATCTGGTCTCCCGTGAGAGAAAAGAACCATGCCACTTTTTTTGTAAAGCAAAGAAAATTAAGATTAATTATAGTAATTTCCGTATACTTTTTACTTTATTGCTGCTAGAAATAAATAGAAAAAACGGATAGAAGTGGGTGAAGGTTGTTTTTTCAAGAAACCGAAAATAGAAAGTACACTCTTTACATAGTTAATTCCTTCATTTCATCAAATTTCAAATCTCCCTGTAACGCTAAACAGGTTAAACTTCAAAAAATAAAAACCTTATTGCCCGTCTATGTAGAATCCAAGTTCTTTACCGTGACTTCTCATTTTCTAAATTCGTAATAATGATGCAGATGCGATGACCTTCAAAAAAGTAGATGGTACCCCTAATTAAAAATATTATCAGCCTCAAAATTTTCTTAAAACTCTTTCGTTTGACACTGATATTTCGATATTGCATTTATGTAGGTTATGTATAAGTAAAACAAATTAGACTTTTCAAACAGGTGGCGACCCTTCAAAAGTATTTTCAAACTAAAAGTAATTGATGAACTAAGTTGAACTTGATTTTTTAAGCACATTGCAACTATCCTAAATATAGTTCAGAAATAAATTATTTTCAAACCCATTTCGATTGATACCCATCCTTTTAAAATCCATTTAACTTATTAAATAACTTGAATGGAATTTTTTTAACAGTTGGCAGCCCTCTTCTGACACCCTAAAAAATTATACTGTTAAATTTAAAAATTTCTTAACACTCGTTCGTCTGATACTCATATTTTAAAATTTCATATAACTTATGTATAATTGAACTAAATACGACTTTAAAAACAGGCGGCAACCCTCCTACGAATTATTTTCGAACTAAAATTTCCTCAACTATTTTTCGTCTGATGACTTAAAGTAACTGATGGATCAAGTTTAAAGTTATTTTTTAAACACATGGCAAGCCTAAACATAGTTATGATAGTCACGGTTTAGTAATTCATTAAATTTATTAAATAATTTTTATTTAACCCTTTAAACTGGAACAACCCTCAAACACATCAAAACTATTCTAAATTGTCAAACTAAATATGTATTTCTTAAACTCTTTCATTTGGCATCCGTTTTTAATATTTCATAATAATTGGGTATAAAATAACTTAATTCGACTTCTCAAATAGGTGGCAACCCTCTTCAAAATATTTCCAAACTACTACCTTCTTTAACCTGACACCCATATAGCAATACCTTACTAACGTACCAAATTCTGTTAATTCAAATTCAATTAAATGTTTTAAACATGTGGCAACCTTCCTACACGTAGTTAAGATATAAAGCCTTGACTTGACTTGATTAAACTTGAGTTTAATTATTTAACAGGTGGCAACTCATTTCGAAAAAGTAAAACCTTCTTATACATCTACAGCCCTTTAGTCTGACTCCTCACTTTTGAAAATCGAACGAACGGTGCAGATCTGATGACCTGGGCAAAAAAATTTTAGGAGTTTTCAATTAAAATACAGTTTATTCGCTAACAAAACCCATATAAACCCAAGCTTTAAACTTTGTAAAAGGCTACAAAAAAATGCAACAACAACTTTGTAAAAGACTACAAAAAAATGCTACAAATTTTCACCTAAATTTCAAACTTCTCAGAAGTGTTAGAAGTTTTTTGAGTACGCAGTTGAGTATTCAATTTTAGTCTAACAATGCGCAAATTTGAAGTGGCTAAAAATTACTGTTGATTTTTTAGAATTTATTTCGTGTTTGATCCCATATTACGAATAAACACAATTTATTTTTAAAAATTACCGTTGATTTTTTAGAATTTTTTTTTCGTTTTTGCTTCCATATAACGAATAAACACAATTTATTTTTATATGGAAGAAACCCGCAACACCTTCGTCGAAAAAAATTCTAAAAAATCAACGGTGATTGTTAGCTACTTAAAACTTGCATGTTGTTAGACTAAAACTGAATTGGCTATAAAACTGCGTACTCCAAAATATTCTAACACTTCTGAGAAAAAAGTTTGAAATTTAGGTGGAAATTTGTTGCAATTTTTTTGTACTCTTTTACAAAGTTTAAAGCTTGGGTTTATATGGATTTTGTTAGAGAATGAATTGTGTTTTAATTTAAAATTCTTAAAAATAAATAAATAAACATGAGTGGGAAACAATATCACTTTGAAATGGGGGTGCTATTGTATTGGCCAATACTGTATAGATAACTTATATCACAAGAGACGTGTATATGGACGTGTTTAATACTTGCCTCGCTATCTGCATAATATCTAAATAATAGTTTTATGATATTAACCTCCTCCTGAAAGATAGATTTGTTTTATCCCATTGCTGGTGGTAACAAAACTTCAACCAATGCCATGATCAGTATTGGAGTGATATTTGTAAATACTTTCTGGGTTTTGGGTCGTTGCTTGGCCCAATTACTTATTTTTAGAAATTTTTCGAAAATTTGTTATTTGTGGTGTATTAATTTAATAAATTTTCTTTATCTTTTTTCCATGAAATCTTTTTGTAAGTCTGGCTTTAAGTGCAAATGGTTTTGGAAAATATTCAAACGAAAAAAAATAGTTATGTCAAATACAGAGTTATTACTTTTATTAAAATTTACTCT